AACTCGGGCCTGCAGTGCGACGCTTTTTGTATATATATATATATAAATCTTGAATAGATGTATGTATTGATGTATACCAGCCTCCATACATATATGTATTTTTTGGTTTTCACATCAATGCTTCTATGTATGTACGAACGTTTCTGGAAAGCTCCAACTCTTCATATACACACATATGTATGGATGTGTTTATCTTTTATAAATGCAAGGTCAGGAGAAGCGGAAATGTGCACAACGGACATCGACGTCCACCGTTTGTTGTTCACCGAGGCTGGAGTATCAAGGCTCATTTTTTTTAGACTTGTCGTATTTTTTCTTTGAAGATTTGGGACAAGCGACATCGAAAAACAAGGTAGCCGCAGCAGTTGGAGCAAGGTTTAAGTATTTGTAGTATGTAGTTTTGAAGGCCAAGTTTTGCGTACATTGCGGGTATATCTATGCATGTATCGCTACGTAATGTGCCCTTGTTTATGTCTACCTGTTCATGCATTATATATTTATATATATATAGTTTATACATAGATATGTGTATATCCTATCTCTTTGTTCACTCTCTTTATCTATGCCTAAGTCTATGCATACATATAATTTTTTGTTACCTTTTCTTGTTTCTCTTTTCTTTCCGTGCTTATGAATAAGTATATTTATATATTTATACACAGAAAGTATGTACATATCTTTGCAATTGAATAATTGAATTTATATAATTGACATTTTATTATTTTTGTGGATAAACTCAAACCTAAATTTACTTCTATATCTTTATTTTTTATCTCTATCTCCAGGTTTATCTTTATTTATGACTATATTTTTTGTACCTTTATCGGTATCTTTATTCTTTTTTCCAATTTTATTTGTATTTGTACCGAAATCCTTATCTATATCTGAAAAGACATCTATGCCGCCTATGCCTGTATTTGTATATATGCGTTTTTAATTATAGATATATATGTATATGTCTGTATTATTTATCATCTATATTCATTATTGTACCTACATCTATATTGCTATTTCTAGCTGTATATTTATGCCAATATCTTGTTTCTATGTATGCCTGTTGATTTGTAAGTTTATGTAGTATGTACGTAAATTTAGATGGCATCTATATATATATGATAAAATAACTATTGAAATCTGCATATGTGTCTAAATATATTTATATTTTCAATTGTTACTGTATTGAGATCTATGCATGCCTTCAAACGTTGAAAACTGTTTGTATCTATATGTAAAGCTGTATGCATGGTAAGATGAATATTTATGAAACGCTACGGCACTCTCATTTTTTCGGCCAGTGGACGTAAGCTTGCTGTCCAAACTGTCAGAAATCACAGGTTGCTGTTGTGGCGCCTTTGCGCCTCATCACTTGGGCCATGGGTTTACACAGCCAAAGTCGTGAGGCTGCCGGGTTTTCCACCGTACCTGGCACAAGAAGGGTGCAGCACAGGGTAAGCATCCTGGCGGAAAAGCACATAAGAACATTGCCAACTTGGATTTTTCGCTGCTCAGTGTCATTGAGGTCAGACAGTCCAAGTGGCAAAGCGTTGGACCGCAACTGTGGGGGTCCTGGCTGCCGGTCGCGAGCCCGAGAGAATGACGTGCATGGGGTTCCCAAGTGTACTGCACGAATCTTGCCAGCCCTAAGCCATCCGAAAATTTTTTGTTGCTGCCGCTGCTGTAGCAAATCATAGTCATTGCCTAGGCGAACATCCCAGAGCAGGACTGGCCAAGACGTGTCCCGGGCAATTGCCGAGGACAAGCGACCTGAGCCTGAGAAAATCTCCAAGAAAACTGGCGGGTCAGGCAAAGCGGCAGTCACCGCAGGCATCGGAGCACTTGAGGCAACTCCTCGGCTGCCTGTGTGGCTCTCTTTCGCACGTCTTTTGTCAAGGAGTTGAACAGCTGAACAAGCCTGCCCCCTTTTTGGTAACGTCTGACACTTGTGGCGCTCCTCCACCTCCCTCGCATCTGAATGGCTGCGAGGTCGCGATGCTTTGCGGCAAAATCGTGCGATGCTCCTCCGTGACGCAACCTGTACAGGTGAATGTGTCCCAGGGGCTTCAAAGAGAGCTCCTGACTGCATTCGGCCAGAAATTTGTTCAGAATCTCTGTGTCGAGGTTGAAAGCGAAGTCTTGGGGACTTCTGGTTCCCAGCTTGAGGCATCGATACAGTGCCTCGCCCAGTCCCCGATGATAATCGAGATCCAGTTGGAGACTCTCGTCGTATTCCTGGGTCTTGGATGGCACTTGGTCTTCTGCAGGATGGAGCACAAAAGTCCACCGACTGTATGGTCCCCGCTGGCGAGTCGGCCGGACCATGTCCTGCACCCGCAACCTGAGGCCCTCGGAGGGCCTGAGGTAGAGGGCAAAAGCCAGGAGGAGGTAGAGACCGATCTGGTTCAACTTGCCTTTGAAAGCTCTCGTCGCCATCAGTGCCACAACTTCGTACGGCACCGGCAACCTGCTTTTGGCTGGCGCCAACCTCCGATACCCTGTCAAGGACTGCTTCACACGAGGGAGTTTGTTCACAAGAGGCCCCCGCAACACCGGGTTGAAGTACTGGATGGCGGCCACAGTGTACTGTCCCATTGACAGGTCCTCGCCGTCCATGTACAGCTCTTCTAAGTGGGACGTGACAATCTCGTCGACCGCCTCCATATGTTTGAGCCTGCCATGGTTGTCCAGCACTTGGTTCCGGAGAGAGTCCCATATAGCTTGATATCGTCTGCGGCAGGCAGCGCTGATCGATGCTTGTTCCAGCACCGTACCCGTGCCGCCTGGGCGCCCCGCCGCCAGACGAGCTCCCTTTCTGGCTTGCTTTCTCTGGCCCGCGCTCAACCCATCGGACGCAACCTCTGTCAGACCGAGAGTCTTTCCCGATTGTCGGGTGTGGCACCGGTGCTGGCTCCAAAATCAGGTGGCGATGGATCACCATGGCTCAAACGGGTGGGAGTTGAAGGCTTCCACTTCCCCCGGCTGGGATTGTCAGCCGGGTTATGTTCAGAGGGAATCCATCTGAAGTGAAAGGTACTGCCACTTCCCAAGGACAAACCTCCCAGTTGTTGACAAACCCGACGGAGTGGGAACACGCTAGAGCGTCCCCGACTGAAGGCCCCCGCTGCGGTTAGCGAATCAGTTAATATGAGATGCCGTCTGCCAAAGTTGTGCGTGTTTCGCAAAGCGTGTTTAGCAGCAAACAGCGCTCCTCGTGCTTCACCGACCGGCAAAGTGGGAACTCGTCTCCACCTGTGGGAAATAAGCGTTGTCCACTCCCTGTCAACAACCTCGAACGGGACATTCTGGAAGCGTGCCTCCTGGAGTCCGAAGGCATCGGTGTCAAGGAGCAAAGGTTGATGCCCTGATAAACCAGGACACTCATCCTCAAACATAATCGATGTGTGACTGCCCCCTTTGGCTAGGTCCCTGGCCTTACGAGCGTCTTCATCAGCGAAGCGCCATCGTTCATTCCAGCGCCCGAGGCCCGAGGCTCCTGACCAGGTCAAGGGGCATCTTCGAGGTGACGGCGCCGAACCCAAAGAAACTGGCATCAACCGCTGTAACATCGGGTGACCATAGTGCTTGCAAATCCACTCGGATCAAGGGTGACACCGCCGACCAAAGTTCAAGCTCGTGCCTCACCAGTCGAGGCAGTCGCACCTCACCCGAGTGATTCCGATGTCTTTGGATGAACCGGTAAACTTCCCCAAATATTGACAAAGATTCCCGCCTGGCCAGGCATATGAAGGACGCGTGGCCAACGATCCTCTCGATCTCGCGGCCAGTTGCCCTCCTCCTGGCAATAACGCCCTGTATGGCAGGCCGAACTTTCCATACTCGGCGACTTGATGGCCCAAACATCCCGTCTCTAGTGAACTACCACCCAAGCACACATGTATCGCCCTCACAGACCTCATCCTCGTGGACTTGTAGCCCTGCGTCCTTGAGAGCATTCACCGCATGCTGAAAGGCAGATACAACTTGTTCACGGCAAGTGCCAATCAACACCAAGTTGTCAACGTACTCAGTGTGTACATAACCACTTGTAGGGCAGGGACGTTTGTCCCGGAGACGCGTCTCATCTCCCAAGCCTGCCTGCGCGACCAGGTTTTCGTGCAAGGTCTGGCATATGTACAAAGCCCACGACCACCCCATGGGCACCACAGCAAGTCGAGGATAGTACATAACAACCGGTTTCACACGCTGGCCTCCAACCTCCTTGACAGAAAGAAACTTCCCGTCGATGGGGGCCAAAGTGAAAAACGTCCTGAGCTCCTCCGGCAGGGCTAGATGATAGAAAGTTGAAAGCGTCCTTAAGGTCGGCCGTGCATATTGTCAATTCTGTTTCTGGCTCCACCTCAAGCCGCGAAAGAGAGTCACCGGCCACCGGTAGCCAGGTGCACGTAGCTGGGAGGTCTGAAGTGTGCATTACTTCTTCGGGCGTCGATAATCAAGCGGAGCTTATTCGCTTTCTTGGACACGAAAAACAAGCCGATCCGCTCTCTGCCGCCCTGCATGCTGAGGTCCACGATGCTGGACTGCAGCAACCTGCTCACGAAATCCCCATACACCCTCGGATCACGAAAACGGGGGTCAGAATACGGCCGCTCAACACCGCTGTCCTTCACCTTCATGTGTGCGGTCTCTGCTGGCAAAAGCTGCTCTTGAATAAACGAGCTAATCGATCTTCCCCTGACCTTACCCCCCAAAGCATCCAAGTTGATCGGCTGCCACCCTGCCTCGGGAAGGGAGACTAAGTCAGGCTGGTAGTTCGTGAGGGCACCGACGGATTGACCAAGATCCGTGTAGCCCCCGCACCGAAGCGACCGAAGTGCTTCCGGTACCGTGAGATCGCCAGGAGGAGCTCCCAGCGCCTCCACCGCATGCTGTATGCGATGAATAACCTCAGCCTGTGCAGCCGAGGTACCACCAAAAGAGTTGGCCGGCCCACCCCCAAGCGGGGAAGCGCCAGCCCCATTGTACATTGAATCAAAGCCCAGATCGCCGCATTGACGTCCTCCACCTTATGATTTTTTAGACCAATGCGCTGGCGGCAGCCTCTTGAAACTCGGCGCGCCAAGGGCACCTGACCCGCTATAAAAGGAAGGGGAAAGACATCTCGCGGGAGCCGGCCGGGATCATGCAAAGGCCTCTCGATCGGGGCAAAGGTCGGCCCAACACCTTTGCCCGTGCCGCTTTCACGACTCATCTTGGCCGCCCTTGCCACCACGCTTCTTCCGGGCAAGCTCCCGCTCTCCGCGGGCTTTCCGGAGGTTTTTGGCAAGTGCAGCCTCACGTTCCGTTTCAGACTTAACGAAGTCCAAAAGCTCTGGACACACCATCAAGGTACTTGCATGCCTGGTGAGCCCTCCGAAAACTTGTTGCTCTTCCATAGCCAACCGCCCACCTGTGCCCTTGGCCTCGACCTCACGCACCTTCTCGGAGTACCCAAACTCGATCGTCTGCAATCTCCGGAACATAGCTTCAACGGCCATGAGGTTGTGGCTGTTAAGCTGATCAATCTGCAAACAGTACCGAAGGAACATAGAAACTTGAAAGTGCTCCTGCATGCCCCACGACGCGGAATCCAATTTACACAAAGTTCTAACTCTCTCGTGGTGCCCTTCCAGACCCAGACCTTCAACGACTAGGTAATTCAAGCACCACTTGGTAGTCCTAGGCCCCGTCATGGTCCACCTGACATGTTTCTGAAGTGACTTCTGTGCAGCGTCTTTCAAAGACACCTCTGGTCGGCCTAAGCTGTCCAGAGAGATCGGTGTACATCGAAAATCCCAACCACCAGGCCTCAGCAGAAACTGTTCCCGGTCTCGGCCGTAAACGCACTCAACGAAAACTGCCCGACCGGATGGAAACGTATGCACGGCTTTTGCCCCGGCGACGGCCGCGGCGATCACCCCCGGAATTGCATCACCGAAACTGACTCCCTCCAGTGACTCCGCAGCAAGCCAGTACAATGTGTCAGGGTCGTACACAGCCTCGCCCCCTGGTTGCAAAGGGCCCGCAGGCACCATGGCCCCCAGAGCTGCCGCGGCCACCGCGGCCGCACCTGCGGGTCCAGCTGCAGCATTCTCTTGAGCTCCAGGCGCCCCAACATGCACGCCCCGTCTGGCCCGCTCAGCTGCTGCTTCGGCACGCCCATCTCTCACTATACGAGAATACTCTGCTGCAGACATGGGAGCAAAAGCATACACCTGGGCTGCAGGAACTCCCCTCGGCACTCTGCCGTCGGGGGAATGCCACAGGTGTGCCAGGTCCACGTTGCGGTTGTGGAGCTCCTCCACATACATGTCCCTATCAGGTGTGCAGATCATCCATTCGTCACCCTCGATGTGCCCTAGCAGAAGTCGTGTGTGTACGACGCCTGGACCCCCAATGTATCTGAGATAAACGAGCTCGCCTTCTCGAAAGTCCATAGCTCAACTGGGCCTTGTTGTTCAAGGATTTGCAGTCCCTTTGGAAGCCCGTACAGGCCCTTGCCAGGTTTGCCCTTGACAGCACCGGTCACCTCTCGATCTCCTGCCTTTTTCCGCCGGATGGTGACTCGAAGGACCAAGGCAAGATTGGCAAAAAGGAGCCCCACTATGACCAGAAAGAGGAACCAGGGCCCGAGGTTAGATGTCTGTCCCTTGTCTTCGGCAGCGCACACGCACTGACACTGACCAGGACGGATATCGTTGGTATCACGGCTCCCTGAGTTTCTCACCCAAAGGCCTACCGCTAATCCAATCAGGCTCAGCACTCCATGTGTCGCGTCCATCCCAAGCTACACTGGACAACTTAAAAGACTTGAGCAGGATAATACAGATGCGGCCTCGATTTCTCGTGCCTGTGCTCATCAAGACTGTTCAAGAACTATTATGCATGTGTATTTGTCATTCACGTATGTTTGTTTACTTATGTCTTTATATGAATCTGCTTTGATGTTTCTGTCAGTTTCGGAATCTTGCGGCAGCAATCATTCAAACAAATGAATAAGTCGCAAGAGTTCAAGCGAAATGAAATGTCGCCTCAGGTTGTTCAAACATTTCCGAAAGCTCTTCATTTCAATTTGGTTCAAAATTTCCGGGCTCGTCACTTCAATTTACTTAAACCCGTTTCGAAGCTTTTCATTTCAACTAACTTAAATTATTCCGGTGTTCTTGAGCTAGCAAACCGAACTGCTTCGCTAGCGCACTTCGGCTGCGCCTCTAAAGGCCGTTCAAAGCAAGGCGCAGCCTCTAAAATTTTTAGAAGAAGGAGCAAACCGCTCGAAAGAGACGGGAGACTTTCGAAAGAATCTAGAGAAATTCAGAAGAAAGAGCATGCTGCTCGAAGGACCTAAAGAATTTCAGAATAAGGAGCAAACCGCTCGAAAGCGATTAGAGTAGAGAATTCCGGAAGAGAATAGAGAAATTCAGAAGACAAGGAGCAATTCGCTCGAAAGCATTAAGAAAGAACAAACCTCGTGAAAGAGACTAGAGAATTTCGAAAGAGACTGCAGAGATATCAAGGAGCAAACCACTCGAAACGAACTAGAGAATTTCAGAATACGGAGCAAATCGCTCGAAAGGAATTAGAGAATTTCCGAATGAGGGGCAAGCCGCTCGAATGAGACTAGAGAATTGGAAATAAGGAGAAACCGTTCGCAAGGAATTTGAGGGTTTCAGAACAAAGAACAAACCGCTCGAAAGGAACTACAGAGTGTCAGAAGAAGGAGCAAACCGCTCGAAAGAGACTAGAGCATTTCGAGAGAGACTAGAGAAATTGAACCCGCTCGAAAAGAACTACAGAGTTCCAGAAGAGGGAGCAATCCACTCGAAAACAACTAGAGAAGTTCGAAAACGAAGAAGAGAACATATGGTTCAAACCGCTCGAGAGGAACTAGAGAATTTCAGAAAAAGGAGCAAGTCGCTCGAAAAAGACTAGAGCATTTCGAAAGAAGTTAGAGAATTTGCAAACAAAGGCAAGCAACAAAAGGAGCAAATTGAGCGATCTCCTCGAAAAAGATTAGAGATTTTCGAAAGAGACTAGAGAAATCGACAACATGGAGCAAACGACTCGAAAGGACCTAAAGAATTTTAAGCAACACGCTCGAAAGAGACTAGAGAATTTCAAGAGAGACTTGAGAATTGGAAAACAAGCAGCACACCGCTCCCGCTCGAAACGAAATATAGATTTTCAAAAGAAGTAGCAATCCGCCCGAAATAGACTAGAGATATTGAATTAAAAGAACAAGCCGCTCGAAACGAGGAACAAGTCGCTCGAAAGGGGATTAGAGAATTTCAAGACAAGGTGTAAACCAATCGAAAGATCTTAGAGAATTTCAACAGAGACTAAAGAATTTGAGCACCAAGAGCAAAACGCTCGAAAGGAACTATAGAATTTCAGAACAAGCAACAAGCCGCTCGAATGAGACTAGAGAGTTAGAAAACAAAGAGCAAACCGCTCTAATTAAACTCGAGATTTTCAGAAGAAGGAGCAAATCGCTCGACAGAGACTAGAGAATTTCAGCAGAAGGAGCAATCCGCTCGAAAGAAACTAGAGAATTTCAGCAGAAGGAGCAAACCGCTCGAAAGAAGCTAGAGAATTTCAGCAGAAGGAGCAAACCGC